GGGGGCTGCCATGACAAAGGTAGCGAGTTATAATAAATAGTACAGCGTAAGACATGAAATATCTGACTATAATAGTAAAAGAAAAAGAAGAATGTTAAGAGTACAGGAAGAAAAAAGAAAGACGAAGAAACAAAACTGACGGGAGGAGGAGGTAGGGGTGGTAGAGATATTGAAGGTGTGTAGTATAATGTTACATAGGAAAACATCTAAAAGACAAAAAAAGACGTTTCCAATAGTTGTGAAGAAATGGAAATTTATGGTAATGTTGCAAGAGCCCAGGTGGTATCGAAGTGGAAAAGTGTAACGGCATGTGTGCAGTTTTTCTCGATATTATACAAGACGTTGTTACACATTTCAATGTTTGCATACTGACATGATTCAAACGGAAAGGTAATATATCTCTACTAAATTAGCTTTTGTCCAGCAGACTAATAGAAAGAAAGAGAGACCGATTCAGACATTTAAAAAACTAAAACAGACTTTTACACAACAATATAAATGTACATAAAATCAACCAAATAAACAAATAAGCAAGTATACTAAAAAAACAAACAAAACCCCAAACAATACATAAATGAAGGAATGACCCGGTGAATAGATGAAAGATCGATTAAGTAAATACACAAATAAATAGATATATAAATAAATGCACAAATACATAAACACACAAATACATAAATACAAAGATAAATAAATAAATAAATAAATAAAACATATTTTTAAAAATAAATGGATGGATGAATGAACAAATGAATAAATGATGTAATGAATGAATGAATGAATGAATGAATGGATGAATGAATGGATGAATGAATAAATGAATGAATACTCAAAAACAAATGAGTGGAAAATTTGCTCATGTCTATGTATGTGTGTTTGTATGTATGTGTGCGTGTGTGTACGTGTAAGTACATGTGTGTAAAGGGGGTGGAGGCATTTGCGCGATTTGTGCGTTTGTTAATTCTCTAATGTCCATTCGATCTCAAAGGCTGTTTGTCTGTTGTCGTTTTTCTTTTTCAACCGTTTACGGAAATAGATTTAGAGATGAGAGAGGTACTCATCAACGGTGCTTTTCTCGGGAGATGGTTGGATAAGGCTTTCTTTTTTTAGGGAGTGGGAGGTTGTAAATGAGAGGAAGAATGGAATGTCTCTCATTGTTCTTGTTCTTGTGCTTGTTGTTGCTCTTAATCTTTTTCTTGTTCTTGTTCTTGTTCTTGTTCTTGTTCTTCATATCATGACGTTATACTAATCAAAAGATGTCGTTTTGATAGGATAGCGCGTATGACTGTTAGCTTTACATCTCACAGAGCAGTTGATTTCACATTATTTAACCGTTTTATCTATTAAAAAAAAAGGGCATAGACTCACTCCTTGCTTGGATGATCGGCAGTCACGTGTTATTCTTAACCACCATGGGATCTTTAACCCATGAAACGTCCCCCACAAGCCATTACCTGATGAGACTAGTTGCTTGATCCTTCCTTCCTTCGGATCAAAGGGTGCAGAATAAAATGAGAACAAATCCAAAGCAGGTGGGGATCGAACGCTGCACCTCCTTGTTGATAGGATAGGGCCATATTTCATGTGTTTTGAACTCGACGCCTGTGCAGTTACGGTTAGGTGCTTTGACTAGCACTTAGAGGCAACCAATTCCATCTCTGGGTTGGGATTTTTTTTTCAACTTTACTGATCCTTCTACTAGAATGTTTTTATCCCCCGCAGCTCGGGATGGATCTGACAGGTGGGGTCGAAACCCACCTCGTGGAAGACCTAAATTGTTTCGATGTAGTCGTAAAAACGCCTACATTAAACAAAAAAAGAGAACCCGATTAGCTACTGAGCGCCCCACCTCCCCGAAAAAGAGGCTATGAAACTGGCATTAATGTCAATGGCAGTGTTGATTCCTGGAGCCGACATTGAGAACTCTCGTTCCAGCTGTAACGACCACTTTGCCCTCACAAACATACAAAAGCTAATCACATACCATACCGTACACATGATCTACAATACTTTCTCGACCATAACTGTGGAATACAACCAATTGTTCAGTTACCATATGCTCTTATTCCATGTGATTGCTTCCGCTCTCTGTCTTAGTTTGTGTCTGTGCCTCTGTCTTTGTCTGTCTGTCTGCCCCATTTTTCTTCTTTTTTTCTTCCACCCCCTCTCTCTATTTCTCTCCCTCTCTCTCTCTCTCTC